TGTAGACTTTTATAGGAAAAATTTAGAATGAAATTGTCAAAAAATATTGCATGCAAAGTAAAATACTCTTGGAAATACCAGAGCAATCTGTTAGCTTGATTACGAAATAAGAACCACTTGTTAGATTTACAACACGCTCTTTTATTTTACCGAACCAATCTGCGAATTCCTACTTTTCTTTTTGACCGCCAGATGACCATGGAGACCTGAGCACGTCCCCGCAAGTGAGTAGACCCCGCCAGGGTTTAAGCGCCATTCGGTAAATTATAATACATTGACTGATTGATCACTAACTATTTCCATAAATCGACATAATTGTTGTTTAACAATTTAACAATGTTTAAAATTGCCGGATAAGGCAGCGTGTAATTAAACAAAATGTATAAGGCTAGTGGAAACATAGGCGCCTAAAACAAGCCATCAAAACTGTATATACTACTGCGGAATAACCGTGCTGCGCACGCGCTCTGCTTGTACCTCCAGAAATCCAAATAAATAGACTCTATAAAAGTAAAAGTAAATAATGCAACCGTCGACAATGAAGGATCCCGGCAGCACGAACCACATTATTGCGCCTAACCTCCAAGATGCAATTCGACAAAACCTAGATAATAATGAGACTGATGATATAATTATCAATCCTAAAAAACCAAAAAATGGACAACTTGAGTTATAATGTACCAACACACAATAAATATAGTGCGTTACAAAATACCAATGTAAGTGAAAACAGTGAAATCAAATCTAAAACAGCGAAAGAACGACTATCGCCAATCACCATACCAAGCGCCCAACTTTCTTACAATGAAAACCTAGCAGCGTTAAGGTCACTTGTCGCGTGACAATTTCACATTGAAAAACACATTTGTACAATTAGCACTCGATATCGATCGGCAGAGAGGCATAAAATGACGAAATCGACGCGTCGAGTCAAAATTAAATTTTCGGGTCGTGCCTCCGCGCGCGTGTGTATGTGTGTGAACGCGTCGTCGTCGCGGGCTGGAAAATAAAGACAAGTCGTAAACATAAAAGCTCGGCTATGCAGCTAGAGAGAGCCTCGTACCGTCGTATTTACGCGTTACAAAGTATAGTATTATTATAAGCAGAAACGGGTTAATAAAGTAACAAACGATTCTCACTCGTGTGCCTACACACACATACACACACTTTACGTATAATGCCCATGTATAAGCTGCCACGAGCTTCGAGAGTCCAGCGTCCAGTATACACACTGCTGCGTATTATGTATAAAAAGGTTCACACGCGTGTAAAAGCCGATGGTTTTCTTATCCACACACACACACACACACACACACACACACACACACACACACACACACACACGTGTACACGAGATGCAGCAGTGTACGTACGTGGCGTGCACCGGCCTTTCTCGCGCCCCAGTGTCCGGGCTTCGCGCACTTTTCTCTCTTTGAACGACGGCTCGTAAATCTCTGGCATGTTTGCCTCGTCGCGCGCCATAGGCCATACACATATATACATACGCACGGAAAGAGTACGAGAGAGGTTCAATGTCGACCGTTCGTCAAACGCACACACACACACACGCATGCATGTATGCATGTACGGAATATAATATACTCAGCCGAGAGTTGAGCGCGCGAACCTCGTCTTGCAATATCGGAGTCACTTTCTTACGCTCGTACTTGAATTTATTAAATTCCATAATGTATATTATTCTCGGTTTCGCGTGTCCGTGCGCATACCATCGTTCTCTTTGTCAAATTCTCAATGGTACGTGTGTCCGTATATCATGCATACAACGATATTTTCGCGCGGCAAGTGCGTTTAAAAAGCTCGAGACGTAATTTCGAATCGTCGAATGTCGACCTCAGGATCGTCGCTGCTCAGATGTGTACAGTAAATGTATAAAATGCGATCTCGCGTATGTATATATGCGCGCACGGGGTTATTAATGCGCGCGAGAGAAGCTCCTTCGAGTAAAAGCAAAAAAAAAATTCGAGAAACGGAGGTAGAACGAAAGCAAGAGAGAGAGAGAGAGAGAGAGCGAACGAGTATCATCGTCCAATATACATTCTGGACGCGTGTAAATATACGCGATAGGGATCTCCCACGCCCAGTCAATCGAAGCTTTATAGACCAGCAATTATCGCTGCCTCATGCTCCGGACCGCATCGGAGCGAGCCGCATATTATGCGTATAGCATATGTATAGGTATATCATACGTGATGCACTCACGCACACACACACACGTACTGCTCGATCGCCTGTTTATAATGTAGAGCCCACCCATAGTGGGTCATACGTATGATACGCGCGTATAGTATATATTACGCGTACGAGTACGCAGCCGAGCCAAATTTTCAATTAATCCACCGACCTTTAACCCGATCGGTCCACGTCGTGCGTTGCGGCTTCGATCGAGCGTCGCCGAGGGTTTCTTGGAAATTTCGCAGCGCTTTTCTCACCCGCGCGCGTGTATGAAAGATCGAGCTCGAAAGCCCCCCTAACCTCGGTATGCGGCCACCCCCTTCATTTATCAACACGAATGTTCGTCGTATATAGTTGCCTCTTGTTCGCGAAAAATGAAAAGAATATTAAAAAAAAACATTTTGCTCGCGATCGCTCGAAGCCTCTTCTTGCGCATACCGCGAGAGATAAGCCGTGGTGTTGTGCGCGCGTGCATATACATTTAAATGTGTAAAAGGATGCGTCGGGCGATAAAGGCCGATGATCGCCAAGTGCAATGCCACGCACAGTCCAAGATTTCGCCTCGGCTATGCATTATCCCGAATCGAATATACTCATCTCGTTGCTCGCGACCGAGTACACCGCGACGATGCCATCGTATAATATGTCGTCTAGTTAACAGTTCGACTGCTCTTGCTCTTCTTCTTCGTCGTGTCTCTTTTCACTCGGGCACCGAGAGAAGAAAGAGGAGGCCTGTCCAATGTTTACTTTTCTTTTACTTTTTTTTTCTTTTTGGCTGCAAAGACCGAAGAGAGATACGCGAGGTATGTGCAAGCGCGCAACTCGATATCCAACGACGTCCAAGACCATACGACGACGACGACGGCGACAAAAATTGAAGATCGATTTTGCATGAGCTGCAGAGAGAGAGACAGAGAAAAAGCTCGCCCTTTCTCAAGCGCCGAGATACGCGGACAATGCATATAATTTCCCTATACCCGTTCGCGTGTCGTTGTCCTCGTCGTCGTCGAGCACGAATAATCGCGCGCGCTCACAACTCGATTACGCTCGGGTGTCTGTCTGCGTGTGTGTGTGTTGTACAACGACACGCGTATATTGGCTCGTTGAGACACTCTCGCGATCGTGTCGTTTTTTGTTTTTTTTTTGTACCACTAACACGAGATTCGAGCAAGTTGCATCTCACGTGTTGCTGGCTGCCGATAGGTATATTCCGATCGAGCGAGACTAGCCCCTTATATGAGCAATTCTCTAAATGAAACGCATTTTTGGAGGTAGAATCGCGGCAAATTTTTTTTTCAACCTAAGCGGATACGGACCCCTGGGAAATGTTTTTGGGGGTCCTAGGAATATGTAACCACGTAGGAACCATTGAAATTTCAATAGTGCTTACTTTTATAGCTACTTTTGTGATTTAGAGGACGAAAAATCATGTTTTCTAGTAAATGCGGCTAATTACTCAATTTCTAAGTCGCTGAAAAAGTATCAAAACTCATCTAAAAAAAATAACTGACTGCTGTGTTCAATAGGAAATTTTCTCAGCTTTCCAATGGTGGTGTCAGATTTTCCGATAAGTCGCACATTCACCGAGAAAATCGCCATCAAACATGCCAAGCTAAATATCTCGAAAAACTCGGTACGGAAAAAGTGATCTTTGAGGTTTATTTTCGATTTTTCCTCGTGAAAATGAAATTTATCGAAAAATCTGACTACACCATAAGAAAGCGGAGGAAATTTTCTATCGAAATCATATCTTCATTTATTTTTTCAGTGGAATTACGAGCTAGTTTTGACTGTAGCGTGCCGAAAACCTCGCGACCGCGCTGTATCAGCTCGGAAACAGAAAACAGCGAACAACGTAAAAGAAATTCCGATGTATAACATTGTAATTCCACTGAAAAAATAAATGAAGATATGATTTCGATAGAAAATTTCCTCCGCTTTCTCATGGTGTAGTCAGATTTTTCGATAAATTTCATTTTCACGAGGAAAAATCGAAAATAAACCTCAAAGATCACTTTTTCCGTACCGAGTTTTTCGAGATATTTAGCTTGGCATGTTTGATGGCGATTTTCTCGGTGAATGTGCAACTTATCGGAAAATCTGATATCACCATTGGAAAGCTGAGAACATTTCCTATCGAACACAGTAGCCAGTTATTTTTTTAAGATTAGTTTTGATACTTTTTCAACGACTTAGAAATTGAGTAATTAGCCGTACTAACGAGAAAACATGATTTTTCGTCCTCTAAATCACAAAAGTAGCTATAAAAGTAAGCACTATTGAAATTTCAATGGTTCCTACGTGGGTTCATGTTCCTAGGACCCCCAAAAACATTTCCCAGGGGTCCGTATCCGCTTAGGTTGAAAAAAAAATTTGCCGCGATTCTACCTCCCAAAATGCGTTTCATTTAGAGAATTGCTCATATACCTGCTCGGAGCCGATCGATCAATTCGAAAAAGAGATGTAAAAGAAAAAAAAGAAACAACGACAAAAATCATGATATTCCGCATTGGAAAGTCGAGCTATTAATTATTGCTCTATGCGCCTGTAAATAGATGACTGGATGATTTTGCGCAGCCTAAATATATTTGCCTGCGTGTAATAACAGCTGTACCGCGCGGCTAAATATAACAGCTTTATCGAGTCCCTGCTTTTATGATAAATATCAGCCATCCGACGCGTTTCTATAAGAATTGTAATTATTAATTAACCCAGAAATAGTCTCGTCTCAACATTATATGCATATATCCATGTACTCATGCACACATTTATTTATTCTTCTTTCTGTTTTTTTTCTCTGTTCGCAGTCGGTCGCCAAGAATTTGCAGCCGGAACAGCAGTAAGTATCGTGACGTTTATGCGTGCATACCTTTTAGCGTACGCACGTACGTGCAACAACCGCCGGTTTGTGTATAGCGCAGTGCAGCGCAGCTTTCACAAAACGGCCTTCGCGGGCCATACGTTAAAACGAGGAGAAAAAAAAAAATGAAAAAAAGTCAAATGCTCGAGCAAGGATTCAATTACCTCGCGCGATCATTGTCTCCTCTCGCGGTGCGAAAGTTGTCGAGGTGTTTTTTTTTATTCACAAATGAAGAAAGAGAGCATTGCGATTTATATTCATTTTTTTCTTCTTTTTTTTTTAACTCGTAGCATCGATATCGCGCAGTATCATTAATTCGATAACGTTAACAGGTTCACGACTGCCATACTGATAAAGTCGTTCCCGAACTTGAAGTACATCATCGACCTGACCAACACATCCCGCTACTATGACCAGCAGGTAAGCCAGCTTGAATTTTATCTCGATCATTATTATTATTATAAAAAAAAAGGAGAAGCAAAAAAAAATTGAGTGCAGAAATTGAATGAGCGCCGAGAGAGCCGAGCGAAGTAAAAAGTTCTTCCTTCTCATCTGCGTGCGCGCGAGCGAGCGAGGTCATTTCTCTGATTCTATTAAGCGTTTACGAAGATCAAGAACTAATTTTACGAAGCCAAGAGTGGGAGAAGAGAGGAAAAGCTTCGGCCAGAACTAATGACCTTAATATTGAATTTGCTTTATAGCCTCTCTCTCTCTCTCTCTCTCTCTCTCTTTATAATAAAAGCTGCTCTCGGGAGCTCACACTTACAGCTGTTGCTGTGCGCCACGGGCTACTACTGCTGCTGCAGCGTCCAAGCACAGTCCGCGGGTTAGTACACCGTAATATAGCGTATACCACTATACCCATGGCCTCTATACGCTATACATATACATAAACCAGAAAAGAAAACCACCGCAGCGCGTAATAAAAGGAGCTTATGCTTTATCTAGGTCACTTGATAGGATTATTATCAGGATTGAACTTACTTTCGATAATAGAAATATAAGAGGCAAGAAATCGTTTATTTACGTAGGATGACGACGAGGCGGTCGCGCGACGAAGAAAAAAATGTAAAATTTAATAACTCCATCGATATCAGAAATGAGAATTTTCTATCTCTACATTTTTTCTATTCTCTCTCTCTCTCTACTTTTTTCTTATTTTTGAAAATTTTCTTCGTGCCTATCCTCGGTTCAATCATGATCGCTTCGCGGCTAAATTGATATACGAAGATAGCAGACGAGCATTAATTACGAGAGCAAAGATCCAAAGCCACATGCGACGTATACGTATAATGAGCTGCGCGTGAACTATCTTAGCTAAAATTGCGCGTCTCGTTTTATTTACGATGAAAATCTGTAAGCGTTCACAGGACGCGCGTGTCCGTAGGGTGCGAGCGACAAGGTAAAATTCTTCTCTCTATAAGAAAGCTTCCTCATTTCCATTTATTAATTTTATTTTTTAGGCTCGTTACGTGCCCTTTTTTGCAAATAGTAATTGCGGCCATATTCCGTAATGTCTCGAGTAATCGTTAATCATTTTGAATTTCGATCTGAGTGCAATATTGCAAGAAGACGAAATAGAAAATTATTTATCGCTCGATGAACACGCGCGCTCTCGAGACCTTTTTTTTTATCCTTTGATTTCTTGCGCGCGATTAGTTCATAAACTTTTCTGCTTCGTTCGCAAGCCTTGAATCATGTCTCTTTAAAAAGAAATAAAATGCCATTGTCACAATGCACCCGCATAATCTCTCACTTATCGACCCTCTTTACAGCTAATTCTTTTTTTCTTCGTTTCGTTGTCTCTCGTCGCAATTAGTCGCTAATCAAAGAAAAGGAACCAACCGCCCTGAGATGGCAATTTAGAAATCACAAACGCACGCGCGCGACTATCGAATCTCCTCCTTTAGGCTGTCGTACGCATACAATACACATACATTTATACGCGTTCGCAGCGGTACGAAGAAGAAAAAAAGATCGCGCTCGAGTTCTCTCTCGGTCGGTTTCGACGAGCGAGAGAGAGAAAGATGCGCATCTCGAGTGATTGATAACAACGCGGTCAGTCCCCGTATACGTACCCGTGTGTGTCTGTGTGTGTGCATGGCGCGTTGAGACGCGCAATATAACTCGTTTAAGAAAAAGAGTATGTACCTCGGGACGTTCGCTCGTTTGGCTTTATAAAGAGAAAAGAGGGCCCCCCCGTCCTATCTCGCTCGCTCGCGCGCGACCACCTCGCGCGTAAAGATAAATGTCTTCATTTCGTGTGTGCTGCGCATGTACTGCGTGCAAGCGCGATCCTCGAGCGAGAAACGGACCTTTTCGAGTCGATCGCGTGGGCCAAATTTATGATTGTTACTATTTATCGTTTTTATTTTCATTGGGAATTATTTAAAATCTAATTGATATAGATTAGAGGTATATATGAACAGTCAAAGATTAGAGATTTAATTTATAGATTAGATGTATAAACACTTCTATGTAAGAAATAAACTGTAATAATTCAATTGCGCGTTTTGAATGCGACGTCTATTGGCGACTTATTTAATCTATTTTTTATAGTGAGGCTGGCCCAGAAGCCATAATATGTTAGGGTGATCGCTATTTTCCTAACTGTTTGGATCCTCGCTTCCGCTCGTTCCTAATTCTAATAATCTGAATAAAGCTCACTATAAATAATTAAATCATCGTTATGTTTCGTACATCGCAACGTTCCAAACGAATTCTCACGAGTTGACTTAACAATTCATTCATCGTTCCTCTTGTATTAATTGAAATTGATAGAATAAAAAACGATCGTCGCAAAAGGTCTGCATCTATTTTCTCGTGTTCGCTTGATAAGTGATCAATCTGCAAAGCTCCAAACCCATTCCAAACCCAAAAAGTAATCGCGTGGACTCGTGCGTTTGCTCAAGTCAGAAACTACATTTATCGAGAGTTTAAAATTTTTTTCTCAAGTTCGGCCTCGGACCTCAAAGGGCAGCAGCACAATATATTAAGTTTAAATTCATATACCGGCACAAAGGGACTAGCGCGCTCCTTTTTGATATCGCGCAAACGTCTCTCATAAATGTAACAGACTCATTCAACTGTTCCGCGCGTAATTATCGTGCGTAATTTTTCTCTCCCCCGCAATTCGCATCTCTCGTTATACGCGCGCGCACCGCATAATCAAATTAGCGAATGAATTCATGTACGAGAGTCTTTTAGCGTGTAATCGTGATTAAAAAACAAAAAAAAAAAAAAAGGAGAATGAAAAAAACAACAACAACAATAATGACAGTAATCATCGTGCCCGCAGTCGTCGTCGTCGTCGTCGTTGTCGTCGGTTTAGCACGCCCGCGAAACCGCACGAGGCGGACATCAAACGATTCGCAGCTCACGCGCGCGTAAGCGCAATCGCAATAGAGAAATTTAATTAAGACTCGCAGCCGAGCTCGGCTCGACGCGCGCACACGCGCCACATGCGCTTGTTATAATAAATATGTATATACGCGCTTGTATCTCTTATGAACGTGATGTGTTTGTTGTTTGTTACATGCTCACCTCTGCTGCCTACCACATCAGGATTTCACCAAAGCCGGCATCAAATACCAGAAGGTCATGATTCCAGGGATGCAAGTACCGCCGCTGGAGTTCGTTAAAAGGTACGTTCTGAATAATTTACCGCCGCGAGAGCTCGCCGCTATATACGCGCGAGCAGAAGAAGAGAATATCCCTCGTATATTATAATCATAAACTAGGCGCACAAATCAACACGAACGGCGGCCTATATTATAACGTATGCATAGGAAGCAAAAAGCTGTTGCAGTTAATGATGTTTGTGGGGTATGTGTATATGGGCTGCGTCGCGCCAACCTCGATACGATCGAATAATGTGGATGTAAAACTTATTGTGTACTCCTGAGGAATGCATTGAAAAATTGTATAACTTTTAGTAACATCTTCATTCGTCGTATACTGAAGCTCAAACTTGAATTTTTATTTCCTAAATTATATTATAATATATTGAGAATACACTGAGCAATTATAGTTTTTTGCTCTGAAAAATATAGGAAATTTAAAAATGATGCATGTATAATTAAAAATATATGCACCATATCTAATTGCGAGATCTTTTGCTGTAGTTTTAAGAGACATTACTATGCAAAATATTGCTCTTCGAAAAATTGCTGTGTTGGGTGGCAAAACTCGTGATACCAATTAGATTGATAAATCGCCAATAGATGGCGAACGAGGATTAGCTAAAAGTCGCAAGCGGCAAAAAATTTTTCAAAGTTAATATATACAAGAATTTTATACGTTTCTTTAGAAATAACTTAGTGATTTTAAGTTATAGTTCTATTCCAAGGTAAAACAGTTCGGCAGTGACTGAACTTCGTAACGTAAATACGTTGTTATCGATCATATTTATAATTTTGGTCGAAGCCAAAGATTTTCGACATTATTTGTTACTTTCAACTATTAATGACAAACACAATGACTATAATCTCAAAATTACTTTGTACATTGTCTGCTATTTGCTGTTCACCCTCGCTGATATAATTGAGAATAGAAAGATGACTCAGATAAGATCCGTGAGTTTTCTTCGTTATTTTTCAACATTTGACGAAGAATCATAAAATTTATACACTTTATCGCGATTAACGTGGTACAACTCATATACGCAAATACTCGTGTTGACTTCGACGTTAACGCACGATTGTCATTATTGCGCCTGGGTACAAGTAGATATTCACACGCGGGCATCGCATTCGCCTACTGAAGTAGCTGCATAACGCAGCTAACAGAGACTTTTCCTTCACCGGCCGCTCTCGCTTCGCGCTTTTGTACTCGTGCATTGTGCGCACCTTATGCAGGTAGTACCCGCGCGTGGGCGGCCTTGGGCGATTCCGCGTGGCGCGGCATCATCGCCGTGGCGACTCAAGCGCCTTTATTAATATGATAATGCCCAAGACAGGCTCTAGGAGTTTCTTTCAACGACATATCTCCGCGCGATATAGGCCCGTTGTCTCCTCGGGCTATTATAACAATGTCAAAACAGGGCTCGAGCTATCGCGCGCGCGCGCGTATAAATGAGAGATTTGTTTCGTAAATGAAATTGCAAGCAAAGCAGCAGCAGCTGAGAGAAAACTTGTTATTATGACTGATCGCGCGACTAATCATTCGCAGTTATTATTATTTTTTTCTACGTACAGCCGAGTGTCTATGTAGCTACAACTGCATTCTATGTAGTTTATTATATTGTTCTACAATATAATGTACTTGTTTACGTTGGCAACTCGTCCAATTTATGTCGTACGCGAATAAAAGAAAACCTTTCGAAGCCGCGTAAAATTTCGTATATCGTCGGCCCGGAACAGAAAAATAAAGTACCAATACTTGAATTATTGAAGTTGGGTTAAAATTGAAATTAAAGTAAATAATATACTTTTCATTTACTTGACCAATGTGTGAATTTTGAACTAATGACTTGAAAGCACTGCTGCTGTTTTGTGAAATTTAATTACAATACAGTAAAGACGCGCAAGGATTGAAAAAGACGAAACTTCAGATTATATTGAATTGAAGCAAACGTGTTGAAAATTGCACTTGAATTCTTTTCAGGTATTTAATAGTTCATAAGTTATCGTTAGATGGCGTATGGTTAAATTCTTGAAAACCAAAAGAGAACATGCAAAGTTTTAGCATTAAATAGGAGCTATAAATAAATGGGTTTATACATTCATAATTCGGTATGACTGGCTGCTTTTGACCGCATTTATATTGCATTGAATTTGTTTTAAATACGCATTGTTCACCATTACAAAAAAATCGATATCGATAACTTCGATATTATTGAGTAACGATTATCGACGACACATTATTATCGTCAATATTTTTTAAACAAATTCATCGTATCAGTATCGTTTCGTTTTCAATTCGATATCTATAAGATACCGATATTTTTATCGAGTATCGTAAAGCACTATCATCAGCTTAAAGAGCATCAGAGTGTTAATAATCGGACGTGTTTACGTATTGTTCCGCAAATCCTCCCCATTATACCTGTCTAAAGTTCACAGATGATCTTCATTTCTGCTACAAAAGTGTGTTTTGTTCTTGAGTTTTTTTGTTGTTGTAATAAAACAAGTTTTTGATTATTAATAGTGTTGAAGTGTCAAAGTCAAATAATATCTCAAGTTGTCCGATATTTAACACTTATTATTGTTGTCCACGAAGCTGTTTGTCCTACAGTGGCCAAAATTTGTTGACATTACCTAATACTTCATAAGCGCCTGAACGAGTTTTATTTCACTACTTCAATAATGTGTACGCACACAGGTACGTGCCCGCACAAACATTCTCTTAATATCTTAAAAGTATCGTCTTTTGCTCTCCGTCTCTCGCCGCGTGTGAGTGCGCACGACGAAGCGCGCGCATTATTCATCATCATTGGCTTTTTGCGGCACGCACATGTATTACATGCGGGGGAGCGCGTTCGCCGCGCGCATATTCGCGCCGCCGCCGCCGCTGGCTAATTAACTGCAATAAATGTCCGATGATTTACCGCGAAATCGCGTCCCGGGGAAGCCCGCGCGCCTGCGTGTGTGCGTGTGAGCTCGTTTGGCACCGTAAGATTATCGGTATACCCATTTCGTTTCTTTTCGTTCATCTCCTCTCTCCTTCCTTTTTTTTTTCCTTTCGTATACACGCTCATTTTTACCTCGGCGAGTTGTATCGTTGCGAGATCTCATTTGCAGAGAATCGATGTACGTATTATATGAGAAAATGAAACAACGATGCGCGGTCGTACGCACGAGTCAACGTTCACGTTGCACTTCTCGATTTAGTAGAAAGCTCGTGTACAGAGAAAATATCATCTTCGCGAAATGATTCATCGCTCAATCGTCTACGCGCGCAAACGCGATGTTTTCATTTATCATTTAACGACGAAAATCCGAATTATGCTAATATCGGCGAACGAGTGAGAAAAATCCACGCGGGGGAGTTTTCAATCGCAAGAATCACGCACGACGAAAATTCCGCGGCAAATATGCATATTATCATTATGATATTACGCGCATCGACGATGATCAAACGGCCAAAGAACGCCGTGAGCCACCGAGACGACGTCTTTATATAAATATATTATTGTAACGATCGTTGTTTATCGCTAAGATCGTCGTATATTAACTGCTAAACGCACGGCGTGTGCCTCCGTAATAATAGCTCGGGGGAAAAATTAGCCGTGGAAATTTCGACTGCGCGTTCGTCGTGCTGTTTGGATTATTGTCGTCGCGTAACGACGACGACGACGACGACGTTTCAACATAATATAAACGAACGTTACCTACTATTAATTCCTTCGAAGATGGAATTCGTTATTGAAATTTATCGCTCAATAAAAAAAGTTGTGCACGCTCGACGTATATAATACGCGCGCGCACGCACGCGACTATGAATTTTTGCATTATAAAACTTTCCCGAAAATGCACGCACGCAGGCGCGTCGTCGTTTGCATATAACGAGAGGAATTTTTCTCCTTCTTTTTTTTTTTTTATTATTGAATCACCGCGGAATTCTCGAATGAAAAACTGAGTCGCGCGCAGAAAATGGAATTAACGGTGCGGCGGGTACGTAGCAGCGCAGGCAGCTTATTTCGCATCGAGTATTAAAGTGCGTTGATCGTGGCGCGGCTCGCAAAATATAATCCAGCGCAACGAGAGGGTTTATATATACAGCAACGAAGAAGGGGTATACACGTCGTTCGTTACAACGCGAATTATAATTCCTTGCCGAAATTGAAACAGCAAATCACCAGCGTTGCCCTCGCACGCAGCTCCTTCGTATACACTCGAGGGGGCGGCGGCCCTGTCAACTTCTCTGCCGCGTGTTTACGCGTCGTAGTCGTGTTAACTCGCTCGCTAAAATAAAGAAAGTCCGACTCTCGTCGAGTGTGTGTCTAGCGCGCGTAAAAATCCTCGTAAACATAATCCTCGGCTACGTCGTCGTCGAGTTTGGGTTTGGGTGAAAAATTTTCGCGCGTACTGTGCACTCGTATCTGCGATGTAATATATGTATAACAACGTCGTCAGTCCATTCTGCGTCTCTCTGCCGCGAGGCGCACAATGACGCCCGGTGTGTCTCTATATACCAGCTATATAGCGCTGCAGCGTGGATACTGCATGTTTGCGTCGTAATTTTTCAGCCAGCGACTTTTCTCTTTCTGTTAAACGGCGTCTAAGCGCGCAAGTAAGTCAGGCAGTAAAAGGAACTTCTTTATGCGTGCGGCGGCTAGGGTGTCGAAAGCTAGCGCCCGTACAGTGGCGCAAGATTTTTTTTATATAATACACACTATTTCGTGTAAGACGACGCGTCCGGGCGTGCGAGGAGCTTTACGAATTCCTCCGCCGCAGCTTTACACTTTACGATTGTACTATTGCGTAGAGTTGAAATTTGCGCGTGCTCGCGCACTTATACATAGCGACACGCGGCCGGGCGCATTCTCCGCAGCGAAAAAAATACGATGAAAAATAAAAAATCATAAACTGCGCGCTCGTACGCTCGCTCGCGCGTTTCCTGTTGAAATTTACGCTTAAGCGATATCTCGCTCTCTCTCTTTTCCTCGCTTATTATTATTGCCCGTGCGCGCATCCAATCTCCA